CTTGTAATCTACATTATCAGTGTGGAATCTATGGACTTGAAACAGACTTTAGTTTTAGACCTGAGACCTTTTACCTTTCTGTGGAGATCTGGCTAATGCATTATGTTGGTAATAGTTATTCATTTGGAAGAATGTGTTGCATGACTCAGCTTCCAGGCCTAACTTTCATTTTGGCATAAGGAGTTTGGGGGTCTTGAGATTTTTAAAAAAATTTCCTTCAGACACTATAAATAGTATTAATAACAACCATTTGCAGAGTATTGCTTTGTACCAGTACTACTCTATATGCTTTTTGTGAATTAACTTGAAATCTTACAACAACCCTACAAGGGTTATTTTTATTTTACAGATGAGGAAATTCAAACTTAGAGGAGGTAGGTCATTTGGCAAGTTCACAAGACATGGTAGAGATTTTTATTCCACACTTATTCCATGCTCATTCCAAGCATGTTTGGCTATGATGTCCATACCTTCCCTCTGGTCCACACTGCAGTGGTTATAGTCAAGGGTCAGAGAAGAACCCTGAGAAGCAGAAGGAAACCGTGGTTCTAGAATATGCACAAAAACAACTATGCCTGGTGGTTCATGTCATCATTTTTTGCAACACTCTTGGACTAATGTTCAAAATCTTGATTCTCTTTCTTGTTTTGTATTTGGATAGTTCTGTCAGGGGAGTAGATTAAGTGGACTTGTATTTGTTTCTTGCCCACAGAGCAGATTTCTATGTACTCTGACTTGCTGCTATGAGACCAGGTCCACTTGATCTGTTTGCCACTCCCTAGATCATCCTATGTTTCCCCATCAGACTATTGAAAGTAAAAGGCACGTCCCAGTCATCTGTCACTATCAGTCTTAAGGCAGAGGATAAAATATTTCCACAGGGATACCATATACCCAGCTAAAGATAAGGCCCCAGATGTGGGCTTGTGGACTTAGAATTGGTATAGCCATGTAAGCCTTTGTCTCGGTCTTTATGGGAAACCTAGTACAAATGAACTCCTGTTTTATAACTTTGATATTCCAGCAGAGGAAACATTGCCCAATCCTGCTATTGCAGAAGCTCCATCTCTCTATCTCTCACATCCCACCAGTTTCTGGAAATCTCTAACAGGAGATTTCAGGATAATTCTCAAATAAGGAATCATAATAACAGAGTGGGGTCATCCATCATTCCTCTTTTTCTCTTGTAGTTTATTTGCTCCAAAAGTCTCAGGTACTATTGACATTGTTGTTTGCCTCTCAGAGTCACATGTCATGCTGTATCACACTGCTCTAAGACTGATCTTTAAATGCAGATAACATCTGTTTTCTGCCCTCATGATCTGGTACCATTCCCTCAAATACCCCTATCTGCCACCCCCCCTCAACCCGATGTCCTAAATGGAGGTCTGCCTTGCACTCCAAATTTTCACAGAGAATTTAATGCGGTACTCACTCTTGCTGTTACTGCTTGCTCCAATAATACATTGATATAAATGACAGTGGGATCGAGTATCAAAGATAAACATTGATCCAGGGACCCTCTCAAAGTTTTCCACCCAAACCTTCCTCTTGGTCTTCTGGTAATTCATGCCTTCCCTCCAGTTATGTAATGAATCTTTTTTGGTTTGGTTTGAAGCTCTCCAGTATGGAGAAAATACTTAAGTCTTCTTTTCTTTAATTTAGAAACATTAACAATAGTTGCATTTATTGAAAACTAGCCAGAGCTGGCATCATTTTGGTTCCTCCCACAATTTCAGACTTCTTTTCCATAATATGTACATGTTTTTTAGCCTATAAAATGTGCTTCAAACACTGACTTTCAAAACCTTGTGGTAGGTTGAATAATGGACCCCTAAAGATGTCATTGTCCTAATCCGTAGAACCAATAAATATATCACCTTATATTGTAAAAAGGACTTTGCAGAAATGATGAAATTAACAATATTGAAATGAGAATTTTATCCCCAATTATCCTGAGTGGGTCAGATATCATCACAGTGTTGTTATAGAAAAGATGCAGGAGGTATTAGAGTTAGACAGAAGGCAATGTGACAGAACAAAGGGACAGAAAGAAAGATATGAAGAAGCTATGCATTGGAGATGCAGGGAGATGCAGAAAGGAAACCATAAGGCAAGGAATGTAGACAGCCTTCGAAGCTGGAAAGATCAAAGAAACACATTCTCCCCTAGGACCTCCAGAACAAACCAGCCTGTGGACACTTTGACTTTAGCTCAGTGAAACTGATTTTTGTCTTTTGGTCTCCCAAACAGTAAGACAATAAATTTATATTGTTTTTAGGTACTAAATTTGTGATCATTTTTTCCAGCAGCATTAAGATACGAATACACTGCGTCCATCTTCAATCAAACTGCTCCCTCTTTGTTCCAGAAATTCCAAAGCCACTACCATCTCTCAGGCACTGCTTAGCTCTTTGCATACATAATTATAATGCATAAATTTAGTAACAACTACAAAAAGGTATAGCATTTTTAATACAATGAGAAAATAAAGTTTAATCAAGAAACTTAACCTCAAGATCACACAAGAGGTGTTACAACTGGACTCTATTCCCTGATCCATCAATTATTCATAGCCTATGTTCTTAATCACCGTATGAACTGACTGCATCTTCTTTCTTCTTTCCATACATCATTAATGAAGTCTATGTTGGGTTTTTAACCACATTTTAAAATTTAAAATTTACACAGAGGGGATTCTGGATCCCAGGCAGATTTCCTACTAAATACCTCTCATCAAGTGTGTCAAGCCTCCTGCTTGCCTTGGGCCTTACCCCTGAGGTGATGCAATGAAAGTCACATCTATTGTCTCACACACTGGGACACATCCTTCATAGGGTAAGGAGAGGAATAGATGTTTCCTTCTGCTTGTAAAGGAGAAGCAAGAAGTTGTCTCACTACCCTCCTGAAAGGGTCTTCATGGAATACAATGAGCTGGAGCCCTAACTCCAACCCTTTGGGATGTAAATATCTTTCCCCTAGAACCTAGTAGCCCTCTGGTCTTCACTTTGTGTGTCCTACTGATGTCTTTAGGTTCTGTGGGCTTCATCTCTTTTGATATGTAAATAGTTAGGAAGATGGCATTCCACTCTCCCCAGCACTTTAGGGCTTAATCTAGGGACCAAGTCCTGGATGTAACCTTTGGGTTTTCTTGGGGGAGATTAGAGATATTTTATTATTCTTTTGGATCCATCCACTAACTAGAAAAAATGACTACAGATTTAATTCTCATGGTCTAAGAATAGAAAAAGACTTTTCACAAGAACACTGAGGAATCCAAGGAAGTTTTATTTCCCACAGCCTAAAACATACGTCACTGAGTCAAGGATAAGTTGGTAATGGCATTTACAGAGCTTCCAGAATGGTTCACATTTATTTATTGCTATACAATTTAAAAATTGTTTTTCCATCTCATCTTTTGTATTCTGAGAACATAACATTGGGGTTACATAGAGACCATTATACTCACTTTTCAGGGTTGGAAATAGAGTCTGTAATCGTTTCCTGACTACAGTTACCCAGCTACTTAGGACAAGCCTGCACTTGCTCCCAGGCACCAACCTAGGCCCCTTCCCTCTGCTGCAGGCAATAAACTAGGGCTCAGGAGTCCAGGGACATGTGCTGAATCAGAAACACACACACACACACACACACACACACACACACACACACACACACACACACACAAAACCTTGCTCTCCCCTCCTCCACCAATTTGTCTCCTTTTTGGGTTTGGAAGGTGTTCTTTCCCAGAAGGCTCAGATCTTTCCCTAACATGAGATGACAGCCTTTGTTCCTAATGTGGAGTCTAGGTACTCTCCTGCCATTCTGGGGCAATTTGAATTCAAATTTATAGGCTTAGAAAACGTTTAAACCATTATCACACCTGTAAAGAACTGGATCTGCGTTCAATTCAGTAATTATTATCTCTCCATTAAGGTTGGAAAATGAAACCTTTCTCAACTAGACCTTTACACATGTAAAGTACTCAGGCACTCACTTTTTCTTTTTCTTTTTTCCATTGCACAAATTGCTTGAGTTCTAAAAAAGAATCCACTTTACTGTAAGGTAGCTCCCAGCTTCATTAAGAAAAAAAATGCATAATCGGAAAACCATTAACAGCTTAATTTGAATGAGAGCTCTTTTAAAAATATCTATTAAAATTGGAAAAATTTTAAAGATGTAAAATTGAATAATAGATTGGTTGTAGTGAAACAAGATGGATATTTTATATAAAACATGTATTTTAAAGGTGGGGATCTGCCTTTGAAAAAGCATCAAATATGCTTTCTTGAACAAGAGAGAAACAAGGGAAATGCTGCCTAGTGGCAACTGTCCAGTGGACCTGAGCCATGGTCTGTTGTAAAGTCCTACCATCTTGAGTACTCAAGAAAAACAAAAGGTTGAAAAGTATGAAACAAAACTAGGCATGATATTTTTGGAAAGGTTTTATTTTCATGGTTTTCTTCTGTTAAAATACATCGATAAATAAACTCTATTATTCCAAATCATAGAGGAACATTACATAATTAATACAAAACAAAGCATCATGTCTCACAAGGAAGACATAAAATATCCAAAGGATAATTAGAACATTGTTTTTATAGCTTCAACATCAGAAATCTTGACAGTTTTGATCAATAACAACTGACATTCTTCTAAACAGTTACAAAAATAGATGGGACATACATGCATTTATCTTAACAGTGATCTGACTATTGGCTTGGATCCCCACTATTTATTTTTAGCTGCTATCACAATGTCTGGCATGATGTGATCTCTTTCCCACCATTTAATTAATGGAGAACATGTAAAATCCATCATCGTCAAGTTAGATGACAGTAAAGACTGAACTTTGGTTTAACACAAAAATACCTTTCAAAATGACAGTACAGTGAATTACCAAACACATTCATATTTTTCAATATCAGAAAGAACCTTAATAGACAAGCTTTGAAAAATACATATATACATACATATATGAATAATTAGAAGTACCTTCATAAGAAGCAGTTAAACACATTAAACACAGTCCAAGTGCGCCCAGGAGCTAATTGTTTTTCTTCTTTCACTTTGATTCCTCTAAGAATAGATTCCTTTAGGAATTGTTGTGGATATGCTTTCTCTTTCTCTCTAGGTCCGTTAGCGTTGCCACTGTGATGAAAAAATGCTGTTAGTAGGTACTCAGGAAACTGACCCCACAGATCATTTTTCCCACCTTAGATCCTTACCTTCTAGGGTTTTTCAAACGTGATCGTTCCTCCTAGCCCACACTAAGTGGTTATTACTTGTAGGAAAGTTGTTCTGTGTAGCCAAATAAAGCCCCAGGCTCTGGGATGCTATTTAACTAGAAATAGTGGACCTGTGGTCATAACTGTATTATTTGCTTCAAAAAGTGAAACAAGGGTTATACATAGGTTAAAAATCTACATGCATGACCTCACCTAAGGTTCACAGCAAACGTTTTGAAGTAGCTATTATTGTTTTCAGATTTTGTTAAGACTCAGGATACTGACAGGTAGAGCCCAGACATGAACGACTCATGAGGGTCTGACTGGAAAGTCTCTACTTTTCACCAGGGAGAGTTAAGAGTCCCACTGTGCCCCAAATCAGGGGGGTTCACTTTTCAGGTCTGATGCCCATGAGGGAGTGAGACAAACATCCTGAAATAGGTAGGAGGCATTTTAGCATCATTAGCCAAATTCACATAATCTTAGAGAAAGGCACATTTACCCTCACTTATTTCAGTAGGGGTTAGGCCCGGGAATGGAGGGCACTGAAATACTGAAATATCCTCTGGCACCAGAGCAGATTAATAACCTTAATGGCAACTTTAACTGTGAAAATAATAATCACATTTCTAGTCCTTCAACTAACCCCTGGGTTTCCCTTATTTTATTTTTGGGGACCGGATGCCAGTATTTCTGACCAACGGCCCCAGTCGCCTGTGTACATGCAAACTCACCTGTTCAGCATCTGTTGGATGATTTTCTGAACCATGGGTGCTGTGGGGTTGAGACACACTTTCTGCCCATTCTTGAGTGCGGCTCTGCAGAGGGAAGGGAATCTCGTGAGGCAGGAGGTCGGGCTGGGGACAGGGTTGGGGCAGCAGGAGGGTCTGGGACGCGGGCGGTGGCAGCGGTAGCGCAGCGCGGGACTTACATGACTTCGGTTTGGGCGCAGTGGGGTCCAGGGAACGTCACGTTCACATTTCGGATGTTCTTGGGGTGAATTCCCTGCAGGGTCTGCAAGCACTGGCAGTGCAGTTCAGTGACCACGGGTGCTCCTACGGAAGAAGAGACTCGCTGGCTGAGCGGGACTGTTGGCGCGGCGCGTCACCCCAGCCGTGTCTCGCCCCGGGGACCCCAGGGCGCCGGGACCCACCTGCCGCGCGCCGGCAGGTGGCCACCAGGAGCACGAGCAGCAGCAGCGCCACCCGCAGGAGCCAGGGAGGGCCGGGGACAGCGTGGGGTGCGGCGCAGGCCATCAGGCTCAGAAGGCTGGTCGGGCGGCGTGCGAGGAGCAGGGGAACTGACAGGAAGGTGCCTGCAGCCCAGGCTCTGTGGCTGCGCGAGATCGGTGAACCGTTTTAATGCATGGTTGGGGCTGAAAAGTCTGGAACCCCCGGGTCAGAGAAATTCTCGGAGCTCCAGGTCGATCCCGAGTACGGAAAAAAAGAGCTGGCCCTGCCCCCTGGGTGGTGGGTGGTGGGCGGTGGCTGATTACCCACTGGTGCCGCCTCCCCGGTTCGCCTTCCAGAGTGTGGGATATTCGCTTCTGCTCCAAATCCCTGGAAGGGCATTGAGTCCACCTCGCTGGAAATACCGCCTGCGGGGAAGGACCCTGGACAGGGAGGAGAGTAAGAGCTGGGACGGATCCCTGAGAACCACAACAAGGGAGTCACGAACTCTTTAGAAGACAGTGATAACTACTTAGTTAATAGGGTTGGGATGCGGGATTTCAGAGAAATTAAGGAGGGCCTAGAAGGCTAGATTTTGTTTGGCTAGCTATCTTCTAGATATCATATTCTCTATCTAATTAACCTCTCTCTGTATTCGGTCTCTGCTTTTCGGTTTAGCATATTTCACATATATCTGAAACCAATGCTCCCTGTAAAAATACAGCAGCCATCAGGTCAGATTCCAGAGAAGAATGTTCTGCTTGTTCCTTGTGTTGCATACTCTCTAATCACACATGGAATATCTTGTTTACGTTTTCCATTTGGTGGCAACAGATTATCAGTCAAAAGTCGAATTCAGTGTTAGTTTCAGTGGAAGCCCAGGCTGTAACATGACCTCTTTTTTTCCTATCCTGCATAACTTCCTTCTTCCCTCTGAAATATTGGGACTTCCAAAAGTTCCTAGAGATCTCCTTCTCCCCCTACCAGAGGTTCAGATTTGATATATGACATAATGGAATTGGCTATCACTCTGAAGCTGGGCACTGGCTGTCACTCCCATATGTCACAGATTTGATCTATGACATGAGGGACTTGCTGGGTCTGGCAGCCTCATGGACTATTTCTGGTTCTCTGTTTTTGGACGGCACAGCACATGACACTGGGATGTGGGTACCTGGTGTGCAAGCACTCTTCCCACTGAAGCAGCAGATATCCTTTCAGATGAAATACGAACACCAGATCCCACATAGAGGCACGTTCCATTTACTATCAGACTCTCTGGTATTTGATGTTGGACCTGCTTTCTCTGGAAACATAGGCATTGCTGCTTTCTGATCATGAATTTCAGCCTTTTAAACCGACGCCTCTATCACTTTTTCTACAGTTTTAGAGAATTTATTTTGATTCATCATCAGGTTTTAGAGGGCTTTAGTGTGAATCTCCAAGGCAGTTTCAGACCTCTCTGAGAATGGAGTAAAACAGAGAGAAGAGAGGAGAAAGGAATGGCCTCTGCCTAGAGTACAGAGCTCTGCGCAGCCCAGTTCAAGGCATAAGAGCCCTTGCCCCTAGCCAAACACAGGGCAATACAACTTGGCTGCCTGCATTTAGTTGCAGAGCATCACCTGCAGATTATTTAACCTCTGTGTGCTAAACCCAAGGTAGTTATGAGACATGAGTCAACATTTGTAAGAGTCATCATGGATTAAGTGCCGTATAAAAGTTTTTTAAATAAAGAAAATGGAAATAGCTTTTCCCAATGTTGCCTAAACAGAAAATCAACCTGCTATGAATTATTCTATAAAGAAGAAAAGAGGATCTAATAAAAGATTCACTACCTAATTTTTTTACATTTAAAATTTTCTATATCCCTACTGCCACCCAACTGTACTTAACTATACACAGCACCTATAGAGCAGTGTGAGTCCTTAAGAAATCAAAGCAGGTCCTAGAATGAAGCCTATTCATATAAATGCAATTTCAGTGTCCAAAATGTCCTCGTAGCTACTGGTGCTCACAGGGACCTGTGCTGTCATTACAGTAATCTTGGTCAAGGGGTGGAAAGGTGTTCTAGAATGTTGTGTTGCTTTAAAACAGATCCTATCATTAGTATTTCTGTTCCAATCTTTTCTAATTATTTCCTTTCTAACATTTTCCTGATTACTTAAATTCCATGGCAGAAAGGATACAAGAAAAGCCTTGGCCCAATGGAGGACAAAATACAAAGTGCCGTAAATGTCTTCAGCCATTTCAAGCTATCATAAATGCTGCAAACTTCTAAATTAAAAAAAAAAAAAAAGCAAAACACACACACACACACACACACACACAAACTCAAGGCTGCTCTGCCTATGGAACAGCCGTTCTTTCGCTTCTGTATTTCTCCAATAAACTTGCTTTCGCTTAAAAGATAAATTAAAAAATAAACTCAGGAATTTACAAAAAATTAACATGAAATTAAATTTTCCATATCTGACTTTCAGAAAGGAAGATACATCTGTACTTTACTAGGAGATGCACTTAGAGGGGAGGGGGGACATATTTTACTGTTGAGACAGATCCTTTATTTATTTTGTAGCCCCAGTTTCAAACACTTTATCTGTAAAAAGAAGTTTAAATATAAAAACTCCATCTTATTTATTGGAAAAGATGTACAAAATCCATGACTATATTAAAAAATACTTGAGCATGATCCTAAGAGAAAAACCCAGAGAATAAAGAAATTCAAATTTGTATTGGGGGTAAGAAATGACATATAATTTCCAGGTTATAAAGTATGTGACTCACTCATGAATGATTGAAAGGTTGTGTGATTACCCCTTTTATTATTACCCTTTTTGGGGGATTTGATGATAAACCGGCCTAGAAATATGAAAGTGATTCTTTAAAATTTGAAAAATGTAAATGTTTTGTTTTCTAATGGTAGTTGTAATACATGTTCATTGTATAAACTTTATCATAGCAAGGCATGAAGAGTTTTTTTCTCTCTCTAATCTCTCTTCACGTTTCTCTATGAAACCGACTTTAATGGGTCGCTGAAAATTTGCTTGCTTTTCTTCAATAAACATAGGAGTTAATAGCACATCGTAGGTTTACATACTCCCATTGTGGATTATGTACTCTGCAGGAAAGCTGTAAAACCTCATCCCTGTTTGTCTCCAATGACTCTGGTTCATACTAAGCACTCTACAAATATTTGTTGAAATAATGCATAAATGAATGGCTTTGGGCCACTGTTTTAGAATCAAAGTGTCCTGAGGTGAGTACATATGGAAATTGCCCTTGAAGGACTGCAGCATGTCCTTGTTTTTTGTTGCCTTTTTCACCTCTCAGTACCGAATAAAACCTCTCAGTAGACCTAAGTAAACCCAGATGATACAGCTGGGCCAGAGCCAGAGTTTAAATTTTAGAGTAAGAGCTAAGGAAAAGTATCTTACCTGGGACAGTTCATTTCAGAATATGAACCTTAGCTTAGATATCTCTGAAGCTAATTTCTGCCAAGTTCAAAGAACACAGATGGGACCTGCAAAGGCATTCAAAGCCAGAAGACCTGAGCTGCTTAAGTCTGGAACAGAATAGGAGAAATGTCAGAAATTAAACAAGGGAGTTTGTCCCAGATGGAGCTGGAGTATCTGTGCTTGGTTTTTATGGATCATCTGTCTCATGGAGGATGGGAGGAGCCAGCTAATTCAAGGTTCATCATATAGACAGAAAGTGAGAAGATAATAGGTACACTTCCCACACGTTTTTAAATTAATCTATGTGTATAAGACACAGTGATAAATTTAGTAGAAGAGGTAAAGTTGGATAAAGTCCAACTTCTAATGCAAAATTCTATTTAGCCTGTCTACTTTCTTTTGCAATGCTAGATTGTTTATTTTTCTGTTTCTGGCATGATAATCTGATGATATGATCCATCTACAAATACTTAAAATCATTCGGATATCATTGAGAATCATTCAATATATTAGATTTTGTCAGTTTTCTTGGGGGGTAAGGGGGTGGTTATTGGCTTTTAAAAGTGTTTTATACATTGTTTTGCTGCTCCATTTTCCTAAGATCCTTTCCTGAACTATTCAGAACTGGTTATTAATTAAATAAATGATACTATGATCGCATAATGTAAAAAAAATCTGAAATACAGGACTGCCAAAATTGCGAAAGAGTAAGGAAATGAGAAAACTTCTCTTGGAAATAATTACATAATAAATTTGTTTTGGAAATTAAAACATCATTATGACTTGATATTCTGGAAATAACATTTAGGAACCTGAGAGATGAATGTATAAACCACAAATGGAAAAATAGCATACATAGCATAAAAACATAGACTTCAGCTAAGAAAAGTGAATAATCATAAAAACTTGACTTAAATATCCTGCCATAGTATTTTTCAATGTTCCTTATCCTCTAATTTTTTGGTCAGGAATATTTTTGGTTTAATTTTTTTCTTTCTGGGCTCTGTTCATATATTCAGAAGAGACTTCTGAACAACCCTGGTTTCAGAGGGATGACTTTGCTGGTGTGTGATTGAGTTAGTTCATTGATTGATATTTTTGAAGTAGTTAAGGATACTAAAGAAATAGAAGATTTAATTACATACTATGGAAATTATGGTGAAAGTGGAGACACAAGAACTTGGTTGTGTATAATATACCATCTGTATGTTGCACATTAGAGTAAATATCTACTATCAAATAATATTTAGTGAGCATATATTGTAGCATCTGTATATGATTGGACTATGTGAATGGACAGATGAGGGGAACTCTTAATAGAGTCCCTAATAGTTACAAATGTGACTGTAATGAAATGCCAAACAAATCACTTATGAGACAAATGGCATGAGTATATCATAATGTCTATAAACAACTTGGCAAGATCTGTGAGCCTAGCATGGTCAGGAGTTGGGAAAACAGTATTTTTAATGTTCAACCAACTTTCTGTTGGCTGAATGCCTTATCGTCAACACTAGACTGCATCATTACATTGTATTGCTAACTACAGTATTATTCCTCTTCATGTAGTTAATATTTGACAAACATTTTTTAGCTCCTATTCTGTTATGCATTTTTCTGAAACATGGAATG